TGCCTCAACTTCCCAACCTTGAAGACAAAGTGGCACTTGCCTTCTGGTACAGGGAAGGTTCTGTCACATAGGGATCCCACATCCTGTGCTGGAGAGCTACAAGGGCGTTCAGAATGAGTTTCTACACCTGCTGTTTTAACCCCAAACGGCCAGTACACACCAGGGCGGCGTATTTCAGACTGGCATGCCCTTGATTCCTGCAAGAAGAATAAGTGAAATCTGACTAAGCCACTATAGCTCCCACCTCCGATTTTGACTTTGCGATGATAGCTGATTTACATGCAGTTTTGAGAGATAATACAAAGAGATCTCTTGTATTCGTTACCCAGTTACCCCCATACCCATAACATCTTTCAAGGCTGCAATAGTGTTATGATTGGGGCATTACCATTGATATTGAAATTTCTAGCAATGTCTTACTGAATCGTCCCAGAGGTCTCTCACATGTCAGTGGGATCAACAAGACCCAGGGGAGAAAAGAGAAGCTTCCTTTCTGACAGCTTCCAGAGATTTGACTAGTCTACTCATTTCTGGGTGATTCTAACTTGCCAAGAGGAGACAGAACTAGGAGCGTATTGAGTTCTTATCTGCTGAGCTTGTCTGCCTTGCCCTTGCAGATCCATCTTCAGCCTTCCTCTGCCCTCTTCTGTGTCCTGGGAGGCTGAGCTGAGCAGGCCACACCAACCTTGGATTGGCTTTGAAGGCATTCACTTCCAACAGTCAACTTTCTGTACCAAGTTCCCCCTCCAAATGCTATTACCCACACCCCTCACCAACACCCCTGAAGCCTAAGACGGGAGGTGCCCGAGGTCCCCCTGGGCCCCCTCGCTCCTGCTGACACTCCCATAAAGAGCCTCTTTAGGCTGGTTATTGCTGCTCCCCTTGTGTGTGTCGTCTGCTCTCTCTCCCAAGGTCCAAAGCAAGGGAATCCTTAAACCCTGACCATTGCCTTCTCCCCGAGGCCCTCTTCTGCCTGTGGACACTGCTCTCCCTCTGTTTCTTCCCACAGCTGTAGGAAAAAGTCTAGAACAAAACGCCAGGAAATAGCAACACTTAGAAGAGGAGTCCCGGTAAAGAGGAGCAGATAGAAAACACGGGGTGAAGCCCATGTTGGTCAAAGTCTAATCCCTACTCGGTTTGCACACAGACGCTTCCTTCCAGAGGTGCACAGGAGCCTCACACCCAGCCCTCCAATTTTATTTTCAAGCTATCTTTTAAAGTCACTGTTAGAGTCATAGAAGGTGAGACAGAGAGATAGATCTTCCTTCTTCTGCTTCACTCCCCAAGTGCCACATAGTTGGACCAGACTAAATCCAGGAGCCAAGAGACTCTTCCAGGTCTCCCTCATGGATGCAGGGGCCCAAACACTTGGGGCATTACTTTCCAGGCACATTTACAGTGAAGCTAGATCTGAAGTGAAGCAGCTGGGACTTGAACTGGCACCCACACGGGATGCTGGTGCTGCAGAGCAACGCTTAACCCGCTGTAACACAGCATCAAACCCAGGGATGTTCTTTTCAAGCTTTAGTTTAGTATAGAGTTTCTGGCTTTCTCTTTACCTGGCCGCCAGAACAGGGACTAGTTCTGGAGTCTGGGAGCCCACACACCGGTTCTTCCAACACATCCCTTCTAGCAACAGCCAGGGAGGAGGGATGGGAGGGGTGGAGGGGAGGGAGGGGTGGTGTCCTTGGACACAGCATGGACGATGAGGATGGACAGTGTCATGGGAGGAGGTGAGTTCCTGAACAGCAGTGCTAAATGCTGGGGAGTTCCTTAGAAGAGAGATCCACTCTCCACTTGCACCAAGCCCCCAGGTTGGCTTGACCAGGCCTGGACAGTGAACATCATACCCCCTCCCCCAGCTGTCCAGACAGGCCATCAGATACCCACACACCTGTGAATTTTCCTATTTGATCCTGGAAAAGCTCCATGGGTTTTCCCTCAGCTTAGGACAGAAATTAAAAACTGGAAATCATTGCTGCCAGAGGAAAAGTTTTATTTGCAAAGTAAACAAATGAGGGTGAAAAGAATGAAAGAAAATACTTGTTGGGAAAGATCTACAAGATGAGGTGTGTCCTGACAGACACTGGGGCTTCAAGAAGTGTCTTGGTTTCTAAGGGTTCCCTGACTGCTCCTTGCCTGGGCAGGAACCTAGGAGACCTTCCTCATTGGAGAGTTCTAATGTATTAGCAATTCCTCTCTTGTCCACCTGAGGGCGCCATTTTCCTGGCCGGAGAGAAACGCTGGCAGAAATTTGTGAGCACAAACAAGCAGCAAATATGACTTATTTTATCATACTCAGTGCCACTTAAATACTACACTTTTTACAACCTCAAATACAAAAACAGGCAAAAATATTGAAAAAGTTTTAAAAAGCATGTTTCCTTTCCTGTCTTCGATTTTTCTACTTCCCATCCAGCTCCCTGCTTGTGGCCTGGGAAAGCAGCAGAGGATGTCTCAAGGCCTTGGGATCTTGCACCTGCGTGGAAGACCTAGAGGAAGCTCCTGGCTCCTGGTTTTGGTTTGGCTCAGCTCTAGCCATTGGGGCTACTTAGGGAGTGAACCTTCTCTCTGTGCATCTGCCTTTGCAATAAAAACAAATAAATCTTTTTAAAAATGTATCCTGCTTGGGCGCGGGGGTGGGAAATAAGCAAACTAGGAATGTGTTTAATTTTCATTTTTAAAGGAGACTTGTCCTGGCATTGTGGTTCCTTGTGGTAGTAATTTCACTTCCTGAAGCTTCCCAGGACCCCAGCTAGAGTAAGATCCGGGCCAGCGAGAGGGGGGAGGCGAGTCTCACAGTGCGTGTCTGTTGGGAAAGAATAGCAAGCTCATGAGGGACCAATGGCTCCCTGGTTCTCATCGCACTGGGTCTGGACTCCCCCTGACGATGAACTTTACCAGGCTGCAAAGCCTCCGTGGGACAGTGCCCTTATCCAACGACCCTTCGTGTTGGATGTACAGACCTCACTAACCTTGAAAATCTAATGTCCCACTCAGATCATATTTTCTTTCAAAAGTCCTTGTAGAACTCTCTGAGTCTCAGCTGCGCCACATCTTTCGCTTTTTGGCTGGAAATGAAGCCCCTTGGGGGAGCTCAGTGGCACGGTGGCCACACTGGTGCCTTCCACACCACCCTGCGCTGCCACCCCCAGCTCTGCCTCTATTCTTAGCACTCCATCAGCTGACGCTGGGGGCGTGGTAAAAGGAAAGTAGCTACTTCCTCTGAAGAAACATTTAGTATGTACAGAATGAGATAGCGAATCTTAGGAATGTCACAGCCCAGCTGTCGTCGGCAGTATTCCTAAAGCGGATTCTTGACTCCCCGCCCGCCCCCGACAGCTCCCCCAAGGAGCCAAAGCTGCGCCTCGGGCGCGTGGGAGCACCACCCAGCCGGCAGCTGTGTACATGCAGGGCCCTGTGCAAGCTCAGGTGTCGGAACTCGCCCTGACCAGCGAGCTATTTAAAGCTGAGGATTAAGCAGACCCATTACGTTTTGCCATCTTCTGAACCCAAAATTGCAAGTAGCGTCTAAAATAGCTCACTTAAAATGCCATGAATTTAGCATTTAACCTATTTAGTTTCCTAAATTTAATATTAATCTATAGGAAGATGAGTTAATTCCTATCATATTAATATTTCATAAGTATCCAAAGAACTGATCCTATTTTTAAATGCTGTAGACAGGATTCCATTTAGCACAGAAAAAAAAAACAAGGGAAAATAAAGCACATGTTGGAACTTTTTAAAAATAAGATTTGTGGAGCCCGGCGCAGTAGCCTAGCGACTGTAGTCCTCACCTTGAATGCGTTGGGATCCCATATGGGCACTGCTTCTAATCCTGGCGGCCCTGCTTCCCATCCAGCTCCCTGCTTGTGGCCTGGGAAAGCAGTCGAGGACAGCCCAGAACATTGGGACCCTGCACCCATGTGGGAGACCCAGAAGAGGATAGTGGCTCCTGGCTTCAGATCAGCTAAACTCCGGCCATTGCAGCCACTTGGGGAGTGAATCATTGCACAGAAAATCTTCCTCTCTTTCTCTCCTCTATATAGCTGCCTTTCCAATAAAAAAATAAATAAATAAATCTTAAAAAAAAATTTGTGTCTGAAAATTTGTGTCTGAGGTTGAAGGCAGCAATAACTGATCCACAAACATTTCAGAGCCAATTTCCAAGTACTGGGTTTTAACTTTCAGACTTCTGACAAAGCTCCAGTATTATTAAGTGATGCTAAGACGCCCGACAAGGTGAAGGGAATCACCTTTCTTTTTCATCAACACAAAAGGTTTTCAGAAAAGGAGTCAGTCTTCCTATGAGCACAGCCTGGAGCCGCCCTGCGCCCCAGCACAGCCCTGGAGCCACCCAAGCACAGCCTGGAGCCGCCCTGCGCCCTAGCACAGCCTGGAACCACCCTGCGCCCCAGCACAGCCCTGGAGCCACCCAAGCACAACCTGGAGCCGCCCTGCGCCCTAGCACAGTCTGGAACCACCCTGCGCCCCAGCACAGCCCTGGAACCACCCAAGCACAGCCTGGAGCCGCACTGCGCCCTAGCACAGTCTGGAACCACCCTGCACCAGAGCACAGCCCTGGAGCCGCCCTGCACCCAAGCACAGCCTGGAGCCGCCCTGCGCCCTAGCACAGTCTGGAACCACCCTGCGCCCAAGCACAGCCCTGGAGCCGCCCTGCGCCCTAGCACAGCCTGGAACCACCCTGCACCAGAGCACAGCCCTGGAGCCACCCTGCACCCCAGCACAGCCCTGGAACCACCCTGCACCAGAGCACAGTCCTAGAGCCAATTACTGCAGACACAGCCAGCCAGTCTAGCTTTACTGTGGTAGAAACAATTCACATTTTTCTCCAGCATCAAACTCCGGTTACCTAAGTTTTCAACACTTCCATCTGAGGATAGTATCAGTTTGAGCTGCACTACCAGATTTAATCACTTTCCTTTTCTTTCCATATAAGAAGAATAAAGACAATTTCAACATACCAGGAACTTGTGTAAATATATTTTTTTAATCTTCATCAAAATCCTAGTCCATCACTGCAAACATGGGTCGTGCAAGCACTTCCGTCCACTGGCTGCACTAGAGTCTTCATGACACGTGGACAGGAGCCGGAGGCTTCACTTGGTCCCTATGGGGTCCTTTACTTCCACTACCAAGATCCCGTCATGGCAGAGGATGGCAGACAAGTCTTTGGTTTCAACGCCCTCTGGCAGCTTGTACTGCCGGGTAAAGCTTCTGGAGATAAAACCGTGCTCGTCCATCCGGGTCCCGTGCTGAGCCTTAATCAGCAGCCAGCCCTCGAAGGTCTGGATGATGATGTCTTCCGGAAGGAACTGGACCACATCCAGCAGGATCTGAAAGCGGGAGCCGCCCGCTCCAGGCCGCGGCTCTGCAGAGTCCCCGGCAGGGCGCTGGGCCGCCATGGCTTTGCCCAGGTCCACGATGCTTGGCCCGGGCAGGGCATACAAGGCGTGATCCAGCCTGCAGTCCTCCAACCCACGAGCTTCAAACTGCTCCTGGTATCGCACCGGAGTCTCTATGAGATGCCTCAGAATGATTTTTGCCATGGCCGAGGCAGAAACAGCTTCCTTTCCGCCGGCTTCCAGCCCTTCCCAGTGTCTGAGCCAGTGGCCAACCTCTGCAGCTTTGGCGACTGGATCCCAGTGGGAGCGGCTTTGTGCCTTCCAGGTCTGATGCCCTACTTAGGCCGGAATCAGACCCCGCACTCACGCCTGTCTTTTCACAAGCACACGCTGACAATGAGTGGCTATTTATAGAGCATGTTTCCCAGTTGCCTTGCAAACACAGCAGGCAGCAAGTTTCCCAGGACCCAGGGCTACACTTACATTCCTTGGCAAATGCTGATTTCAAGACCAAAAAAAAAAAAAAAAATAGGAATCACCAAGAGTTCCTGGCCAACCAGCTGGCAGAAGCGCTTTCCCTCTGTGAGCTACAGTGACCTAACAAAATAGGACGTGGTAGAACAGGGCAGAGAGACACACTCATCTGCTGCCACGGGTCAAACTGTATTCACACTTGTCGCCAACGGCAAAGCTGGGCAGAGGCTACCTGGGACTGAAGGCATGCACATATTCCGATTTCAAAATCCAACTTGTCCTCGGTCCATGCCCTGGTATGTTTCCTTTTATCTCTCGGTCTCTGGGGCTTAAGGGACATCTGGGTCACATAATCTGTGTCTACTTACATCTGACTCATCAGAAGTAAGACTAGATGAGCAAGCTAAATGAGCCCGGCGTCAGGTGGGGGGTGCAGAGGCCTAGAATGGGGACTCCTAGAGTCATATGGGAGAGAAAAAAAAAAACAAGGCTTGAGCTAGTTCATGTTAAAGAACTCCTTCCTGTGCAAAAAAAAAAAAAAAAAAAGGATAAAATCTATCAGCAGATCTGCCCACTATCCCACAACAGCAGGCTCCACATTCAGCTTTTTGACTTCCACTTTGTTGAGGGGAAAAAATGTACCCACCATTGGATTAATGTCCCGTGACTCCTAAAGTACTGACAGATGTTTTCATCTGTGCTTATCTGAGCTGTGAGCCAAATACTGCACACACTGCTGGGGGCATGAAATAGGCAGGCTATAAAAGGATTTCGGCTTGGAAATGCTAGACGAATTCACAGCAAAATGGAAAGATTGGTTCAAGTGTTCCCCATGGAGTCCTTGCCCTCACACACGCATGGTTTCTCTGTTACCCACAGTCCCTCCCCCATGGACTCAATATATTACCCAACCCATCCCCAAATCTGTAGCTTTTATTCTTGGACTGTGATTCACTCTTGGCATTGCACATTGCAAACCTGGTTTCAATGCCCAATGACATGTATGAGAGCTGAATGGGATGTGGGACAGACTGGACCAATCTGCCCCACATACTGGCAAGAACAAGAACCAGGCTGGGGGTGGGCCTGGAGGGGGTTATCGGGGGTCGCTCCAACTAGGCTGCAGTTCCTGCTGGTGTACGTGAGAGCCAAGTGTGTATTAAGCAGGGTGAGTTTGGGCCGTAATACCATTAGTTTACATAAGAGACAGGGTTGGAGATAGAATGACCCAGCAATTGCAACTACCAGTGTGTACACAGGCTGATATAGGTGACAACCTGAACCGGATCCTGTACTGAGCAGCACACAAGAGTTGGGCTGGGATCGTTTTCTTGGAGATCCCCCTCAACTGAACCTCTGAACACAGAACTCCAACCATGGGACAATTGCAGGTCTGACCATGGAGTGCATGTGTCAGACCTGGGCCTCCTCAGTGGCCTGGACAGAACAGTGCATGGATACCTGGATGCACATGGAGGATATGGCAGTCAATCCACTGGGGCCTACAGAGGACATCTGATAACATGGCAGAGGAAGGAAGACAGAACAAATCGGTCACCTACCCCAGCCAAGCGATGACTACAAATGTCTGGGAGAATGGAGACTCTAAGGTCGATTACGTCAGCCAAGGGACCTTGGAAGATTTCCTCATCCTCAGATCAGTGAGATCAACAGCATTTCAGAACTATCAAAACCACTTGAGCAGAACCCTTGAGGCATGCTCCACACTGGGGACCCTGGGATGACCTGAGGGGGATGGCTGTTCCCCATTCCTGAGTACTGATGCAGTTGGGAGGCTGGGTGTTCCACCAGTCACAGAAAGAAGAAAAAGAAAATTTGCAAATAATGGTCTCACCCACTTTCCCCTAATCCTTGACCCTTCCCACCCTAATCAACTATGTTATCATCATCAAAATGTCCTGCGGGGAGCAATGCTGTGGTACCTCTGGTTAAACCACAGCCTGCAATGTCAGTGTCCTGTGTACGTGCCAGTTTGGGTCCCAGCTGCTCCATTTCCCATCTAGCTTGCTGGTAATGCATTCAGGAGAAGCAGTGGAATACCCCTGAAGCCCACATAGATGGAACCCCAGGCTCCTGGTCTCCACCTGGCCCAGCCCAGTAATGTCTGCAGCTTTGTAAGTGTGTCCAGGTTCTTCATTGCATGTCTCTTAGGATAACTTGCCTTGCTAGGGAAGCTGCAACATAAGCCTTCAGCTTAATAGATGGACTTCAGGGTAATGAGCATTTGTTCCTCTTAGGGTTATGATTGACTGGATTGCCACATGGACTTGAGATTTGCTATTTCTAGAGGGCTCTGTTATCACCAAACTTGGTTAATAACGACTCCTTAATAAACGTTAGACATGTCTGGCATGATCTTGCTCGCACCCCACAACATAACCAAGGCAAAAACAAAACAAAAACAACTCAGCAACAGTCTTGGCTCAATATGACAGGAAACGGAAATGAAGCTCAGGTCCCAGATTCCTTGGCCACAACAGCTGAGAATCTGTCTTTCCTTTCAGGCTTCCCTCCAGAGGCCAGATTGGAGCCCTGCCTCCTTAGGGGTTGGGCACAATTCATAAAGCAGAACATTGGCCAAGAACTGCTTCTCTCTTTGCCAAGTCCTACAGTCCCTCTAAAGTCCTGGCACCCGTGCCTGGGGCCATGGTATCCATTCCTTGGTCCAAGCTGGTCTTCCACAGAAGCAGTTCCTGGCATTGTAAGTTTCAATGCCTTCCACCTGCTAGCCAGGCTATTAGTTGTGGTTCTTTAGAGAAATGGAACCCATAAGATGTACATAAAGAGATTTGAAAGAAGACTTACTACTGAAATGACTCGGTTGAACATGAAGGCCCAGAAATCTCACCATCTGCCTTCTGTAAGAACTTGGGGAAGCCCATGGTGGAATTCAGTGCATGTTTCAAAGTGATAATCCCAGGAGCCAATGTTACATATCATTCCTACACTGAGGGCCCTAAAGGCTTCAGAACCAGAACCTCCAATCTGAACACAAGAGGGTGAATTCACCCTTCTTCCAATTTTGCTCACCTTTTTTTTCCCCCTGGTTTGTTTTGTTCTGATGCTCAGTGAATTGGGTATTTCCTAAATGCATTGATGAAGATCATTTTTATTCAGTCTGCTGATCTCTTCTGGAAGCTTCCTTCCCAGACATACTCAGAAATCTGTGGGTATCCTTTAGCCCAGACAAATTGACAGGTAAAATTAATCACCACGCCAGGCTCCTTCTAGGCAGTGTGACTTTGGAGGATGAAATGGCTCTTGGGATCCTTGCCAGATATGCCACCTGCCTTGGGGAACAGGTGTCTGCTATCATGCCTCGAGCAGCTTTGGCTCTGGCTAAGCACTGCAGGCTCAAATGCCACTCAGAGAAGTTTCTGCAGTCACACTGAATCACCCTCCTTCCCCCGACGTTGATTTTCTAGGGCCCACCGCGGCTCCCTCGTAAACTTGTCCAATCTCTGTACTTCCACGTAACTCATCTTGGAAAGCTCAACCCTGCCGTGCTGCTTTAGAGCATGCACTGAGGGCACAGCACCCAGTGGCATGTTACTGCCTGTCATTTCTAAAATAAAGATATCACCCAGTGAGGCTGGCAAGGCTGAATTTGATTCTAACCAAAAAGCATTTTTTCCTGTAAGGCACTGTGCTAAACAGAAGCATTTCTAGAAGTTTCTCTAAATCCTAAGACGATGAAATACTCGAACTACTTTGAAGCCACACTTATTTGTTGTTTATCTAATAGGTCAGTTCTTTTTCTCAGGCAACTTGAGACTCCTCATGAAAAAGCTTAATATATAAAACACAGTTTCTAGCAAAAGTATAAGTGCCTGACACCGAGGTGGAATAAATAATACACAGAATAAAAAAGTATTACACAAAGTTTGGATGCTTTTTTAAAGAAAAAAGAGAGAGAATCTTCCATCCATTGGTTCACCCACTTAGAATGGCTACAACGGCTGGGCTGGGACAGGCGGAGACCAGGAGCCTGGGGTTCCATCTGAGTAGCCTATGTGGGCTCCAGGAGTACTCCACTGCTTCTCCTGGATGCATTACCAACAAGCTAGATGGGAAATGGAGCAGCTGGGACCCAAACTGGCACGTGCACAGGACACTGACATGCAGGCTATGGTTTAACAGAGGTACCACAGCATTGCTCCCCACAGGGTGCTGTTTGACTTTGTCCTTGAGTATTTGATGCTCAGCTTCAACTCCCAAAATAGGAGCAACACAAGTGTTTGTTGTTGGTCCACTTCAACACTCCCACCTAGGGAGATGGTTTCTAACCAACTTTTTTAGTTTGCTAGACAAAAACATCAGGAATGACATAGTGATTTCAAGCATGACGGAAGCATAGGTCCTCTCGGGGTCTGTACTGAACTGCAAAGCAACCACGGGATGTGGAGGGAGGATGAAGTGAATGCAGGAGCAGGTTCCTTTTTCAGATGTGATAACTGCCCTCTGGTGGTGGAGACTGGAATTTCACTGATGAAGACTGGTCCATGAGTAATCACTAAAATCCTAAACATTCTTAGTCTTCTTGCCCTTCACTTTATTAAGAGAGAGAGAGAGAGATTTATGTGAAAATCAGAGCTACAGAGACAGAAAGGAAGAGAGACAGAGAGGTCTGCCCTCTGCCCATGCCAAGCTGGTTGATTCTTCATTATTGAAATGGGAAAACCATGTATATCTCTTGGAGCTTTCAGGGT